TTGCCATGATTGTGTTCTACTTAATTACTTTATTTAAAGGAGCAGTGACAAAAGAAACTTGTCCCAGATCCGTAAGACATGGAGGGCAGTCTTTTCTTTAACTAACCTGCTTCACAAAGCATCCATGTTGGTAAACTGACAGTTGTTTAGCTTATTGTCTATACATCCCACAAAACATCCCAAAACATTGAAGTCATGAACAGTGAGAATTTCCACAGGGGGCCCATAATGTTCAGGGCAAACTGTGCTCATGGAGTACACTATTGGCTAGCACTGTCTCTACTGCCAAGCATCTCTTAAGCACCCAACACATGAATATGTATTATGCATGTAAGCCTTTGAAACTTAACAGACAATTACAAAGAGCATTCCACCACACCTGCTGGAATGAATATTATGGGAAAATACAGGCCTATGAGGAAAAGACACGATAAGGGAAACAAAGTTCAAAATAGAAGAGACCGAGAAATTGTTGAAAAGCTAGTGGACAGAGACAAATGACCATCAAAAAGACTACTTAAATGTTGGCTTTTAACTCTAGGGGCTGGAAAAAAGGATGAAGGTTATTTTTCATTTGGACAGAGCCTGAAGAGCATTAAGGTGGTTAAGTCCATAGGGCTGATGGTATCTATCCCAGATCATTGAGAGAGGCGAGACAGGAGATTGTTTGGACCTTTGACAAAGATCTTTGTATCCTCACTAGCCACTGGAGAGGTCCCAAAGGACTGGTGAGTAGCTAATGTTGTTCCTCTGTTCAAGAAGGGAAATAGGGTAATCCAGGTCACTACAGACCGGTGAGTCTCACATCAGTACTTGGGAAGCTATTGGAGGGAATTCTTAGGGATAGGATTTATGTGCATTTGGAAAAGCTTGGCCTATTTAGGAACAGTCAGCATGGCTTTGTTCAGGGCAGGGTACGTCTTACTAACTTGAATGATTTTTTTCAAGGAGGTAACAAAGGTGATCGATGGGGATAGAGGGATATTGTTTACATGGATTTTAATAAAGTTTTCAACAAGGCCTCTCATGGTAGGCTCATCTGGAAGAGTAAGATGCATGGGATCCACAGTGGCTTGGCCACTTGGATTCAGAATTGGCTTTCCTGTTGAAGGCAGAAGCTAGTGGTGGAAGGGTGTTTTTCTGTCTGGAGTTCAATGACTAGTGATGTTCAGCAGGGATCGGTGGAGTTGTGGAGAGTGTGGAAGATTGTCAAAAGATACAGCGGGTCATAGATCAGTTGCAGATTTGGGCGGAGAAATGGCAGGTGGAGTTTAATCCGGGTAAGTGAGATTTGCTGCACTTTGGGAGATCAAATGTTAAGGAAATGTGTACAGTTAATGGCAGGACTCTGGACAGCATTGATGTACAGAGGGATCTTGGGTTTCAAGTCCTTAGCTCCCTGGACATGGAAGTAGATAGGGTGGTAAAGAAGGCATACGGCCTGCTTGCCTTTATTGGTTGGGGAACTGAGTACAAGACATTACAGGAAGGATGTGGAGGCTTTGGAGAGGGTGCAGAAGAGGTTTACCAGGATGCTGTCTGGATTAGAGGTTATGAGCTATAAGGAGAGGCTAGAAAAGCCTGGGTTGTTTTCTCTGGAGCAGCAGAGGCTAAATGTAGACTTGATAGAAGTCTGTTAAGTTATGAAATGCATAGATAAGTTTGATAGTCAGAACTTTTATTTTCAGAGTTGAAATGTTTAATCGTAGGGGAAATGCATTTAATGCGAGAGGGGGCAAGTTCAAAGGAGATGTGAGGGGAAAGCTTTTTACACAGTAAGTGGTTGGAGTCTAGAACACACTGCCAGGGTGGCGGTGGAGGCAGATACAATAGGGGGGGTTTAAGGGGCTTTTAGATAAGCACATGAATACGCAAGGAACAGAGGAATATGGACCAAGGGCAGAAAGAAGGGATTCGTTTAATTTGGCATCATGTTCGGCACAGCATCGTGGGCCGTAGAGCACATTCCTGCGCTATACAATTCTATATTCTGTGTTAATTAGAACGCTTCTGGACAAATGCATTCTGTTTTGGATGCTAAAATTGAGAAAGATACTTTGACCTTGATGAAATGCAGTGCCATTTAAATTAAGATGAGTGGCTCCATAAACCTTTCATATGTTCCCTTGATTGTAAACCTTTGTTGAGTAATCAAATCAAGGTATTTGAATAGTAAATCACATTGAAAACAAAAAGAAGGTACATAGAGCTGAATTTCAATCCCTGTAACAACTAATTCAAGTGTGGGTGGACCCAGAAATTTGGGCCTTTGGATGGCATCATCAGTTCCTAATGCCTCAATGACTTGTTTAGATTTTCAAAGGGAGAGCAGCATGAGGAGCTGGAAATCCAAAAACCTAAGGTCAATTGCTTTTTGAGCTCATTGTAGAACCCTAAAGGAGAATAGTTAACAACAGGTATTAATTTTCAATGGCCATTATGGGGAAGATGAAGAGGCTGAGGCACATTAAAGCATAGTGATCAAGGACACAGTGGTGATACGTTAGTGCTCCTGACAGTAGTGTAAAAAATGGACAGTGAAACTCAGCTGTTCATGCAGAGGCACAATGCCAGAGCTGAAAAGGACAGTTTTGTTAGGAAAGAGCACTGGGACACTTGAGAGGAATGTGAGACTTCATTTTGCATGGCTACCTCTAGGCATGACTGCTTCACCGCACTAGTGGAGCTCTCCGTCCAGATGGATGTATGGGTACAACTCCCCTGTCCATCACAGCCTTCATCAGGGCCTCAAGGTGAACATCAGAAACCTGTGAGTCCACGTCGTGATGACTGTCCAAACCATCTCTGGTAGTCCCTTCTTCCTGTTTATCCTTTTGCAAAGAAAAACCTATTGTGTTTTATGCCTCAGAGATATGCAAATGTGATGCATCAGGCTATGTATGACAAATATATCTGTAGCCTGAACTTTCAGTTTCCTTTTATACTTAATTACACCCACAGCTATGATTCATTCACACAGCACCAAGTGCAGTCACCAAATGCACGTGGTCAACCAACCAACAATAGGATATAACAAAATCGAATAATAACCTTTTTATCCGTCCTGCCAATGCACCTGACATGAAATTGATCAGCAAACACACCTCCAAACCAAATAATGGCTGCAGCTTTGAAGATTATGTAGTATCAATGCCATTGATGCAGTGAAGTTTAAGACCTGAAAATACTCTTGGGGTTCCAGGCCAAGACTGGATATTTATCCCAGAGAAGCTATTTTCTCTATGTCCAGAACAATATGATATACACTTAAAATTTGAGCGTGGCTACTTTGGAGAGAAATTAGGAAGTTTTTCTTTACAGAAAGGGAATAGAAGTGTGGACTGAAAACAACAAATGCTGGAGATCACAAAGGATCACTCCAGTATCTATGGAGTGAGAGCGAGCTAATGTTTCGAGTCTAGATGACTCTTCATCAGAGCTCCTAGATAGAAGTGGAATTATCTGTCCTAGAGATTGGTAGGTTTTGTTTGAGTGTTTCAAGATAAATTCAGATACATATGAGCTATGCCTCAATGACTCTGAGGACAAGTAACCTATTCCACTTCTAATAACATACTGTAATTACACAACAGCCATGGGTAAGCCATGGCAGATTACATTCAAACATATAGTGTTTTGTTTATATTCCTGGTTGGCTGAAACTTTAATTAACCTTCTCTAAAAAATAACCTTGCAAGCCTGGAGAAATACATCTCCCAATTATAAGAAATTTAGGCTGGAAGTTTCAAAATAACGAGCTGCAAATTAAGTGAAAACTTACTCTAAATGTAAAGGAGATGCACATCACCTGCAAATTTCCCTCCAAGATACTCACAATTCTGACTTGGAATATTGTCATTCCTTCACTGTTGCCGAGGGGTAAAAATATCATAACTGTCTTCCTAGTGGCATTGTGGATCTGCCTACAGCACATGGACTGCAGTGGTTCAAAAAGGTAGCTCACCACCACCTTCTGAAAGGCAATGATGGATGGGCAATAAATGATGATCCAGTCAGTGACACCTATTTTTTAAAAAGCCGGGATCATAAAAGTTGCAGAAAATATACTGTTGCTTTTAGGGAGGATATTATTTTTCCTGACTGAAAGTAATTGCTATAAAGGTCAGAACTATAATAATAGGTTCTAGGCACCTAAGAGATTTTGCAGATTGGGCAAGAAATTGACAAAACCACAGCATACCAATTAATATTGATGTATGTGACTTACGTTCAACCTCCTTGCACTTTTGACCAAAATTGCCTTTACAAGGCAGTTTTGGTACAGGTTTTCTGAGATCTCCGACCCTTATTAAAACCATTCTATCTGTGCAAATGTAAGAAATATACAAAATTTAAAATGAAAGTAACTTTGAGAATCAAACTCCCCTTTGATTCCCATTAAACACATCGGCAAAATTTCAGCAAAATCCACTGAATTGCTACAATGCATTGTGGAATTTAAAATGTTTGGGAGTTATGCCCAAATCACTTATGCTTACATTCTCTGCATTCCTTTATGTTGTCACAAAGTACCCACTTTGCCAATTGTACTACCAATTGGTTCAAAATGTTTCCTTCGCCCTGGGCCATTGACAGTAATTGATGGCTGCAGTATTGCTCTCGGCTTGCTCATAACTTCAGCACAGTGGTGCCCCCTAAAGCCCTGGAGATGCATTTATTGAGCCTTGATGTGCTCGCCTGTCCTGGACCATGGCTTTATCTCACCTCTTTTCCAAACAAGATTACAGACATATCTACACCAGATAGATTGCTGCCTTTCAAGAAAACTCACTACTACTTTCTGAAGGACAATTCATGTTGAGCAACAAATGCTGTTGCAGGAATTCCCAAATCTCATGAAAGAATGTATTTAAAAAAAAAACACCATGGGTGGATTTTCTACTTTTTCTTTAAATTTCTTAAATTGGCAAAATAGAAGAGGAATTGTAAAGATGCAAGATATTAAGATTGCTAACACATTGCATTCTCCTTTTAAACAGTGTGCTCGATATGACAACATCTTTGCTGCTGAGATTCTAATTGAAAGGGGAGTGAATGTCAATCGACAAGATGAGGATTTATGGACTGCACTGCATGTAGCATGTGCATGTGACAATCCTGACATTGTTCTGCTTCTCATGTTGGTGAGTAATTAACACTGACTTCTAAAAATCTACTATATCTCAGAGCAATGAATTTTGTGAATCACTTGTAGAAGATGCAAAGCTTAGCTGTAAGGCTGCTGCTCTCCAACACACTCTCCTTTTCTTTTATACTCAAGCTGTGATGAAATAATTGCATTTCATGTAACAACCTCCTTTCTCTATAAAACCAAACAAGGATCAAGCTTCAAGGATGTAGCAAAATAGCTGACTATCTCAAGATGTAACAGAAACACTGATTTGTGATTTGCTCGGAGTCACTGTTGCTGTATTTCTGCCTCCAACTGAAAATGAAGACTTTATTTTTGTCAATTTATGCAGGAATAAAGAGTTGAGGGGAAGAAGAGTGTCAATCCCTCGCTCTTTTATCGACTACTGCTGCTGCTATTAGGCAGCATACCTTACCCACTTAAATGTACCATGATGACATGATTATTTTGTACATCAACTGTGTAGTACTCCCACTCTCATCCAAATAGGTTGAGAGACTCCTAAAACTATTGTTTTTAAATCAGATGACCTTATCCGAAGTGGTATGAATGCTTCCTGGTGTAAGAACCTAGGTAACTTTCCCTAGCATCCTTCCTTCCCCCACCTCCTGATGCATTGCAGTGTCTGTAGTTCAGCTTCCAGCTCATAAACTCGCAGGTGAAGCTGCTGAAATTGAAACCATGCAGATGTTTCCACCCTGGATCAAAGTGGTATGTAGAAGCTCCTACATATTGCAAAGTTGACACATCACCGATCTGCCATCTTTAATGAGTTCTAACTCTTTAACTACATTATTCACTTCCTTCTTGGTTTTTTGTATACTTTATTAGCTTTACCACCAATTTGGATCCTGTTAAAATTTAAGAATAGGAAATGCCAGAGATTCACCAAACAGCTAGCTCCTTTCTCTTCAGCAGAGGAAGAATCAATTCTAATAAGCTACACTTAATATAGATCTATCTCTAATTATGTGTCTCAGGATTATTACCTCGTCTGCTTCCCTTAGGAATGCTGACTACCTGTATCAAGATCCTCACCACCTCCCTTGCTCCTCTCCTCTTTGAAAAGGTAACAGAAAGTGCTGATGAGGGGATTGTGGTTGTTATTGTTTATAAAGGGGTTGAATGAAGTGCCACATAATAAGCTTGGAAGGGATGGTGGAGCCCATGTTATAAAAGGTCAGTTAATGCTCTGTAAGGCATGACTCCAACTTTTGCAGATGGCACAAAATATGGAGGCATTGTGAACTGTGACAAATGTAGCAAAAAACAAAGAGAGTGCAGGAAGTTTGGTGGAATGCATGGACAAATGACAGATAGAATTTAGGGCAGAGAAATGTTAGTAAGGAAAATGAGAAGAGGCAATAATTGTAAAAGTGAATAATACTTAGGGGAATGCAAGGACAGAGATGCAGATAATTGAAGGCTGATAGGTTGAGAAAGTGGCGACAAAGAGAAACCACATTGAACTTGAAGCATTAACTCTGTTTTCTCTCAACAGTTGACTCCAGACTTACTGAGCTTTTCCAGCACTTTCTGTTTCTACTTAAGAAAAAGGCTAAAATGACAAAGGAAATCTTGGGCTTCAGAAACAGGATCAAACAGTACAAAAACAGGCAGGTTATGATGAACTTATGTGCAACACTCTTTTAACCTGAACTGGGGCATTGTGTTCCATTATGGACACCAACTTTAGGGAGATTTGAAGGGACTAGAGAGGGTGCAATGAAGATTTACAAGAATTGTCCAAGAACAAAGGTCTTTGGCTATATATGAGATGCTGCCATGTTAAATATCATGGAGTTGACCTTTTCAGGTGCTGAAGCAACAGATCCACTTCTTCAGCACCATTCTTGAGGAGCCCAGCCAACTATATTTGGTGAACATGTGTCCCAATTTATATGGTGTGTTATAACTTTCACAATCTGATCACTATGATGATGCAACCCTTGCCACCAGAGATGTAAAGAACATCTCAAAAGCAGGAGAGGGAAAAGGGGAAGAGCAAGGTAAAGGGGGACCATGAAGAGGCAAAGGCAACCAACGACTTTTCCAACCATCGATCTGTGATCATTTGACTGGAGTCCCACTGAGCATAACCCCAAATCCCAATTATACAGTCGTCATACACTTTATCAGTTACTGTCCATAAAAATATCCTCTTGGTTGCAATGCTGAAAGAAAAGCTATGACAAAGCAAACATTGTGGAGCAGTAAGGATTGTTTCATCCATCATGTAGAGGAAACTGAGGAAGAAATCCTGGCTGCCCATTCCAATTCCTCCTTCCAGTACCTGGTCTGAAACCTTGCAGGTTACAACACTTCAGTTGCATATCCAGGTAACATTTTAAACAAGTTGAGGGATTCCATCTCGACCACCAAACCCGTCATGGAATTCCAGATATCCTCCACCCTCTGGATGAAAAGATATTTTCTCATTTTAAAAACATCTAAGTATCTATTTTTGATTTCACTATAATAAAAATAATCTCATTCATGAAAGTAACTTGGTGGCCTAAATTAGTTAATCCCTTGTCAAAATAGCAGACTTGTATTCAGGTGCCCAACTTGAAATAAATCAAATTGAACCATTCAACCCATTGCTTAGATAGATGAAGGTTGTAGAAAACAGCCAACGATTAACAATACTATTTTGATAGCCGCAGGGCTAATATAAAGTAACAGTGACTGTAACTGCTCGATCAGATATTTTTCAACTTTCACTAATCTTCTCTCCAACAAAAATGGGGCCTGTTTAAACAAAGCACTGAGTTTCAGTTTTCTTCATGTGTGAATTGTGCCCAGCCCCTTTTGCACTCCTGGTAAAAATGTGATCTGTTGGAAATAGAGGCAGACATTTAAAGGACTGCAAAGCCTCTGAGACTTATCATAAATCCAGAGCGCTATATCTTTCAATAATAAAATCTCTAAATTGAGGGTGAAAAACCATTATAGCAACTTTATGTATTGAAGCAACAAACTATCTGAAATATTTTACTTATACTTATATACCTAATAAGGTCCTTTAAATAACTTAAAGATTTTTTTTGTAACCAGTTTCTTCAAAGCAAATTAATCTCAAATATCCCTGTCAGCAGCATTTGTTGATCATTAACTTATTCTGATCATCTCATTTTCATTATCTCTAGCCATCCACTCATGCATTAATAAAACATTGATTGTGAATCTGGCTGATAGCAGTTAACGTTCTGATATTAGCACTTTTGTACGCAGCAAACTTGTTCCAAATTTCTTTTTCCACTTAAGCTATGATTTCACTCCTCATTATATACGTATGCAAATAAATATGTGTAATCAATCTTCACATGGTATAAAGTGCTTGTTGGTGCTCTCAAACGAATATTGTTGAGAAGAGTTTTTTTTGTCGCTATCATGATGCAGTCATATATATTTTACAACGTGTTGGAAAGTGGGAATTGCAACTCATGGACCATGAATAAGGACAAAAATGTAAAATGCCGGCATTGATTGTAAATTTTTACCTGTATTAAGGACTGAAAATGACAGCACTACAGGTACATTAAACTGAAATATTTCCTGTTGCTTTAATGTTGAGTGTTCAGCATCTTTCAATGGCATGAAATTATTTATGTGAATTTTGCAACGAAAACCAGAATTTGTTTAGCTCTGCTCTGCAATTTAATTAAAAGCAAACTGAATGGGTTTATTTTATTTATTTGTGGGATAAGCCAGCATTTATTGCAAGTCTACTTACCCTGAGCATTGTTGGAGTTTCATGCATCCAGGCAAGTGGAGATTTTACCATCACATGCCTGACTTGTGCCTTGTGGATAGGCTTTGGGGAAACAGCAGGTGAGTTACTTGCTGTAGAAACCCTGACCTCAGACCTGTTTTTGTAGGGACATTACTAATATGGCTGGTTCAGTTGAGGTTCTTGTCAATGATTCCAACCTCCCTCCTCCCCCAGAACATTGATAATAAGAAATTCAGCTAGACAGTACCATTCAATGCCATAGCTCAATGGTTAGATTCTGTCTTGTAGGAGATGATCATTGCCTGGCACTTCTAAAGCATATTGTCTGCCATTTACCAACCTAATTCTGGACATTGTCCAGGTCTTGCTGCATATGGACACAGACTAGTTTAATGTTGTTAAATTTGAAAGAGTTCAGAAAAGATTTATAAGGATGTTGCCAGGGTTGGAGGGTTTGAGCTACAGGGAGAGACTGAATAGGCTGGGGCTATTTTCACTGGAGCTTTGGAAGCTGAGGGGTGACCTCTAGTTCATAAAATCATAAGGGGCATGAATAGGGTGAATAGTCAAGGTATTTTCCGCAGGGTAGAGGAGTCCAAAACTAGAGGGCATAGGTTTAAGATGAGAAGGGAAAGATTTTAAAGGGGCCTAAAGGGAAACTTTTTCACACAGAGGATGGTGCATGTATGTTGCCAGAGGAAGTGGTGGAGGCTAGTACAATTACAACATTTGAAAGGCAGCTGGATGGGTATATGAATAGGAAGGGTTTAGAGGGATGTGGGTCAAATGCTGACAAATGGGACTAGATTAATTACAGATATCTGGTTGGCATGGTTGAGTTGGACCGAAGGATCTGTTTCCATGTTATATAGCTCTACGACTCTATGACTGTAATTTCTGAGGAGTTGTGAACAGTACTGAACATGGTGCAATTATCATTGATAAAGTAGCTAACAATGTTCGGGCTCAGTACGCTACCCTGAGGATCTGTTGCAGTAATTTCCTACAGTTGAGATGTTGACATTCAGCCACCAAATCTATTTATCTTTTTACTAGATATGACTCCAGCCAACAGAGAATTTTCCCCAATACCCATTGATTTCCGTTTTAGCTAGAACTCCTTGATGCCACATTTGGTTGTCAATGGTGTCGCTGGTGACACCAATGGTGTCTGGCTGTCACTGGTGTCAGTAGCAGTCTCTCTCTCTCCTCATCTCTTAACTTCAGTTCTTTTTGAACGTGTTTAGACTAAGGTT